GAAAGTGGGGTATAATAATCTAAACGTTTCCTCGTCCAAATACTGGAAAGATGTACGAATAGACCATAATATCCTGTGGCCTTTTGCAGCAGCAGCCTTACAGTGGCTGGTTGTTTGGGGATCATTGCTTAGTATGACTCCTAAATCCTTATGGTTTCTAACTTTGGATAATACGAATCATTGTAGTCATTTAATTGCATCACCACACTCTTGATGGATTCACTTCCATTGACCACTCGTCCATCCATGCCACTACTGAGCTGAGATTATCCTGTAATACTATTCTATCTGACATGCTGTATATGGGTCTCCAAACATTTATTTCATCAGTGAAGAGCAGGACGGATGACTAAGCTACAGTTGGTAATTCATTTGCATAAAGTAAAAGGCGAAGAGAATCGTGCTTTGGGGAACTCCACATTTTACAGGTTCCCACGATGAGAGAGCTTCATTTACTCTTACCCTTTGTCTCCTGTTATGTAGAAAGTCACTTATCCAGTCTATGACCGTAGAATGAATTCCAAAACTTTCCAGTATTAATTTAAAACTAGAATGGGAGTCGATAGTTACTAACTAAATCTCTACTTTCAGTCTTATACACTGGACTAATTATCGCGTCTTTCCAGTCTCCGGGCAATCTGGAATGCCACAGGAACATATCAAACAGTATCGCTAAAGGTTCAGCAATTGCATCTGGTAGTGCTTTAATAATCCTAGGATGAATATCATCAGGACCACTGGACTTATCAGGTTTGAGATGCTGAAGTAGTCTTAACACAGTATCTTTGTCATTAACTACATGGTTCATCAACAAGCCTCCACAATCACAGTGAATCGTTGGTCGTCCCTCATTACTGATAGAAAAAACTTTACCGAAATATTCCGATAAAGCTTCAGCTTTTTCGATATCATTCCTTGCCAATGTTAAAGGATCATTTGTACCAAAAGTGATAGGATTACATCACTTCTCTGAGTTCACCTTTCTATATATGAGAATAACCGTTTTGAACTGTATTTACAATCCCTAACCAATTGTTTTTCGTATGAACGTCTAGTCCTGCTAATTAACGCCTTAAAATTATCCCTAATCTTACAATAACTGGATTTGTACTGTTCTAAGCCAGTACAGATGAACATATTGCAGTGCTTTTTCCTACGTCTAAGAAGTTTCTTGACTTGTTTATTTATCAATGGTGGATTATTATTCGGTCTACGTGGTACCAAGTATTGTATGAAAGAAGACATGACTGAACTAAAGTTGCCTTTGAATATAGACCATGCTTCTTTAACTGACCAATCTGCCTTAGAAACACGCTTCTGAATGGCTGATATATTAGCTCTCCATATGTTTGGGCGAGGCTTAACTTGATCATATATCACGTCATTAGCTCTAAACGTGAATGACAAAACAGCATGATTGCTATTCACTAATGGGGGGAGAATATTTAGGTTGGTAATATCCTCAGTTGCATGAGTGATTGCCAAGTCCAACACAGAGAACCTTATTTACACCAAAACGCTATATCTGAAAATTTGAATCCTGGTTTACCTTCTCTAAATGTTCTCGATACGCTGAATACATTTGTGGTCATTAGGGAGGATTAGTAGTAGAGTTTTTGGGGTATATCAAGACGTCTATAGTTTTACACTGTCGGGATATAAGTGTAAGGTCAAAACTAAGGTTTCGGCCGAAGACTAACTGTCTGGGTAGTTTAGACACGCGCTACTGAACAGTTGAAACCCAAATAAGTTGATTGGGAAAATAACGGTTCTAATTTTTATTACAACTACAAATGTACATTATTACTTAAACAAATATTACCTCTCAATTATTCAACCAGTAATTGTTCCATCAATAATTGATTTAAATTACAATAAATAGACAACTTGATAAGAAATATAAAAAAAACTACCATACCCACCGAATAGTGTTATTCTATCCTTTCTGGATAGATCAAGTAAAAAATCCGTTTAAAAATAACACTTTGTTGCTCTATAGCACAAAGTGTCTCCAATGCTGGAAAAGTGCTTCAATTCACAATCAAAATGCACAATCTTAGTCAACACAAGATCCTTACAATAAGCTTATTGAGATTAGCTCGCAAATCATCTTCGAAATAGGCAAACCCAAATTCAAGTTGATGTATGATCCAGACTTTCACGAAAGTCAGTGAACCATCGCTATTATTCGGACTTTAATGGTGGACCTACAACAGAAAATTCAGACAACGAAAACACAAACCCACCCAAGACATAACCTCATACACCCTTCTGTGAGTCAGGATTTACACAATTGCAATTATCAATCCCCTACTTTCTCAAGCTTTTAGGACACATTTCTATACCCTGGCTCTTTAGAACAACTTCCTATGATACAATTCTACTTTTTATACCATGGATGGGTTACATTAGATAGTGTCCATCTGATGCTTACAGTCTTCGATATATTCAGGGTTAACTGTGATATTTGATCCACGTTGCCATGACAAGCCATCCTAACCCGTTCCTTACTGATCTTAGTACTTGTACTATCAATATAATTGGCAAAATCATTCTGCGCTATAAAAAGTATGACATGATGTAGTATTTGTACGAACTAACGATTCCTTTGTACTTGACTACTCAGTTATTACGAATTTTAAACACAATAAGTCTGTTTGTGCTCATTTAGTCCCATGTGGCTTGAATTACACTGTTTCGGGTATTCCCAGTTGGTAAATTAATTCGAATACTTCTAATTATTATGCATGATCCTTCTCATATTCAAGTTAAGTCAGGGGCAGAATCAATTACAACAAGGCAAAACAATTATTTAGGATGTCTGTAAATCAAACGATACATTAATAACACGTAAGTGCTCCGTGAACTAATTCTGCTCCCCAAGTGATTGATATCCGTGTTTTCGCAAGAGTTCCAAACAGTGAAACCACCTAGACTCAGATTCACCAAGATCACAAAACGTGGACTAACCAAGTTTTCGTCACAGCTATGTGTGGCCTTCATTGGTCCACTAACGCTCCTAGTTTATAGAACTTATGTCTTATACTACAAGCGTTGGCATATAAACTCCTAGGGAGAACGGCCTATACACACAGACATTGGTAGCAACCACTTCCAAGACCTGACTATTAGTAAACCCACCAATCGGAGATTATTCCCACCGTTTCGTCGACAGGTCTCTAGATCAGCTAGTGTCGTCTATCTTTTCATTCTATCTTCAAGAGACATATGTGATCTTATTGGAATATCAGAATTGTCGTGACTACGAGCTCTACTTAACAGAATATCATCTTGTTGCTTCGATCCTAGGATTACCTTAAGGAGTCGACATGGTCGGTGTTGAACGCTACCGTCGGTTCTTTTACCTATTCAAAACAATTTTTGACCTGAACACCTCTTGAGTTATCTGTTAATATGCTACGGATATATTCTCCGAGCCTCTCCAAATCATAAACGTGTTTAATTTTGGGATCAGAATCGTCCGACTCTAGCAAATTACTCGCAATAATATTAAATGAGTTTAAGTTCTTCTCAGACACGGTAGGGTGGTGTTATATATATGTATAGTCTGGTTTCTTGCCATGTCGAAGATAAGACGGAAGAATGAGAACTTCTCATCACTTTTCATGATTTGTCAATTACCATAAGCTATTGCTAGAGATCACAAAGAACATTAGACCACTGCCGTACTCATGACAAATGAGACGAAGATATTACTAAAATTAAAACTTTAAATATCCAAGATGTTGACTAATCGAATAATAGTAAAAATGATTGATCTTGATATATAAGTGGGGAGGAAATCTAATAAATGACAGTTTATTTACAAAATGTCTTGCGATTGTACGTTGAAATATTTTTTAACGACCGGCACTGAATTATCAACCTAAATTATCTCAATAAACCAAATGAATGGAAATTTTATTGACACATCGAATCTTCAGTGAAATTATAAGATTACAGAACTAAATAGATTTTCAGGTTAAATATCAGTACCTCTTCAAACCAATGATCTGGGAAGACATCTAAAAGCGCTTGATGATACAATTTTAGCTATACACAATAACACAAAAAAGCAAGGAAATGAGGAACATAGTCAGTAGTATATGTCATTTGCATTGGAAAAAAACACCCCCCACAAGCTAAATAGGCAAATGTCCAGTATATATGTGATTTGAAACATTAATAAGTAAAATAGAATTTTAAAAATCGTCAGACTGAATCACTGTAAATATAAGCGAGAGAAAATTAAACTTAAAACAGATTAATATATCACATAGAATTTCTTGTTTCATTCTAAACACGTTTTAAGTCTGACACTGAAAGGCAGTGCAATTGGATATAACAACAGGTTTTATTATTGGGTCGGCAGTTGTGACAGATAATACTCTTGTAGTAGCAATAACTTGACGATGAAGAATGAATGGAATCCAACTGAACCAAAAGAGCGCATAAAACATTAACAGTTCAACACATAATAATATAAGGATGAACAAAAAAAACTCAAGTATACATAAGGTGACAAAAGATGCAAAACTGATCGAATACATGTACAAAAGAATTGAAAATGTTTTTTGTTTTAAATCTGAAAATGGACGTGAAGGAAAACAAAAATAATAATCATAACAAAAAACAACCGGTCAGCCATAATTTGGTTGTAAAAATGAATGTACTTTGCCATATCTATCTATATTGATAGTGACAGAAGCGTGAACTGAACACAAAACATAATTGGATGAGATTCTGAGTTACAGTTGACTGAGAGTAATAATAATAATAAGGATAATTCAATGTGAAGATATAAATCCTAAATACAAATCAACTTCTGTGTTTGATTATAAGAAGAGGTGACTTTCCATAGATTAGGACGTCAATTGAAAAATTCAAGAACCCAATAAACCATTAGAACACATACAATAAGTAAATCAACATTACGCACTTCATGTTTTGCCTATTTCAATGAATACAAAAAAATTAATACATATCATGGTAATGATTGCTTATCGACAATCCCAAATATGAATTGTTTGATCAACACTACCCGTTATAGCATAAGGAGCTAAACGATTAACATCTGCCATAATAAAATAAAAGAGAATTAGATAGACTCATAGAGAAAAATGCTATTAAATAATTATAATATCAGTAAAACAATTACAATAATTACATGGAAACATGTGTATCCCTCAGAAAAAAAGACATTAATAACACAAATAATCTATAATGCTGAATGGAAACTTATGTAACTGAGTTCGTGTGCTTTAGAATTATCCGATTAATTCTCCTGATATTATTGAATCGATTAGTGATTGCTTACTATTTATCTTTAAATGTCACAAAATTTCTGAAACATTTTCTGATGGTATAATAAGTTTCGTACTTTATCAAAGTTTCAAGTTAGTTGTTTTCATTTCATTAATTTATATTTTCTTCTCAAATCATATATTTGATGTCTAGTCTTTCATGTTACCACTGATACTGTTACTACTTCTACTATTCTGAGATCTGGCCTGATTATTTCATCTCTCTGTGATGATGGAGTATGGTAGCTTGAACTGATGTACATACGTATCAGGTTCTATGTTGTGAGTGACTCAGGTTAGTGAAGCTTGGATAAATATTTTTTTATCTTCTTCTGCAGTAAGATCCACACCGAATACGACTATCATACAGGCTAAAACAAACATCAGTTGATTTCTAACATTCATTAAACTACAAACAAGCGCTTTTGTCATAAATAATGTTGTCTACTTCCCAAATCATTTCCAATACACAGGAATATAAATATATATACTAGTTTTAGTTGCATTAACAGCGGTTGACTTTTTTTAGCGTCATGGAACCCTTAATGTACCTTTATATATTATTCGATCATTGACTCGTCAATAACACCCATGTCAATTTAACCATGTAACAACTCTAGTCATGAATTGTGTAATTTCCATCAGTAACAAAGCAAAGGATAGCGAACCTTTCATTTTTTGCATACTATATACTAGGATGAATTATAAATTCGCAATAACTAATAATAGTACTTCACAAGTGTTTCCACACTTGTGGAAGACGTCGGTTGATAAGTGGGCTTAAGGAATAGGTAGAATATGCTTCAGACATTAATTTTTTGGTCAATTTGCATTACAAATGTTACAATAGGTAAAACAAGGCGACCGGTTGTATTACAAGGTTCAATATTTTTCAATAAATTATGCGAAAAGTGTACCCGAATGCGATTGAAGTTTGGAATAACATGACAACCAATATCAGCAACAGAAAATAATACTTATCAGTCCATTAATTACCAGACACTATTCGAAAGGTGCTTTGTTTGAATAAATAAACATTTCAGTGGTATAATAATAAATAATACATCATTCTAAGTTGTGACAATTCACAATAAAGTTAATAAATGAGCGACAAGAATAAAAAACAAAGAAGTAAAAAATGACACGGCAGCGTCGAATAAATAAAAAAGAAAGAAAAAAACCCACAGAAGTAGTGATTATTCACACCATTAAAGATGGGATTATTTATTTTATTTGTTTAAACACATAAATATTGGTACAAAGGGGCACCAGATATATATGCGCCACGCAAAACAGTGAAAATGGGAGGAGAAAAGGGATTATATATATATATATATATATATATATATATATATATATATAATGATGGGGGAAACTGAAATGTACAACCAGAAGACTCTTTCAGTTAAGGCAGTTTGATCACTCTTTATGAAGAAAGTAAAAGTAGGTTACAGCAAGATCGCTACTAGCTTTTATTCTGAGCCATATCTGATAACGTCTCTAGCCACTGTGTTGCACCATCTCTCGGACCCCAGGCAGGGAGTCGTGTAGGACCAACAGAAACCAACCCTTTGAAGCTTTCTTTCAAACCACGACACCATCTCATACACTAACCACTTCTCCGCTTTTTCCAATCAGTCCCAGAGTCGGCAAATAATGCACGACGTGGAAGTCTCTGGGACGACATTCGTAGAACATGTCCAAGCCACCGAAGTCGGTGTTTCAAGATGGTGACACCAATTGAATAATCGTCTCTGCGCCCGAACACACGATGCCGAACCTCTGCATTACTAACATGGTGTTGCCACTGGATGTCAGCAATCCTTCGCAGACAACGATGATCGAACACAGAGAGTCTTCAAACATCGTCAACTCGGAGAGGTCAGGTTTCACAAGCACAGAGTAAAATTGCTCTCATCGAAGTGTTGTAGATCATACCTTCTACAGCCAGACTAACATCACGAAAGCACCAAAGATGGCCCAGATTGGCATAAGCCACTCTGGCATTCATTATACGTGCATCAATCTCATCACTCACGCCACCACCAGCATTCATGTAGTTACCTAGATACACGAACTTCTCAACTACTTCAATCTGCTCTCCATCCAGGGTGAGTACAGGATGAGAATCCTGCCAGTCTTGTAGGAGTACTTTGCACTTGGAGGGTGCAAAGCACATGCCGTACCTGCGGACATTGCCAACTGATTAAGTGCGGATTGCATGCCTTGGGCATTATCGCACAGTAAGACAATATCAGTACTTTGCACTTCGAGGGTGCAATTCACTTTGTGTGCTAGGTTCACAGAGAATTGTTTGCTATATGTATGCAAATCCGCCCCGTTACTGTTCTTATTTAAGCCCCCAAACGCCCTGGTACGGCTGAGGGTGGGGAAGGGTCACCGTTCCTCTCCAAATGCTCTCACACGGCCACGTGCATACAACCACTGCCAGGGAAGTACTTCTCACTGCCTTCTTGCAAAAGTGTTGTTTACGAAATTGAGAGAACGCAAAGTGAATGTCCGACGCTTTTACCGGGTTGGTGAATATAGACGACCCACTAAGGGGAGTTGGAAAATCCTTATTCCAAACCAATGATGCACATAGGCTCCAGGATCCAAAGGGGACAAAAGGCGTATCAACCTATTGTTGGTCACCGACTACCATGGGACTGCATCGCCTTACGCTGCTCCACTGCCTTGTGGATTAGACCTTTAGGTGAAAGGCTCGGGGTGTAGCCCCTTAAGAAAACCACTTGCTTTGGTCTGGGCACACAGGAAGTAGCACAGCCCACTCACAAATAAATTAAATGACGATTTCTAGTGACAATACTAATGATGAGATGGTCTGGCTCAATCGAGACTTATTTTTGTGACACATTTGCCTTTTTTACAACCAACTCAGTCAATATTTAGATAGGGTAGTTAATATCCAAAATGGTTTTTATAGTCCCTAGGATAGTGAACAATAAATTTTTTTGTGTCAGAGAATTAATAAACTTATCAGTAAATAAAGAATAACTAATTGCTCCTGGTTTATAGCACGGTTTTGCTCGGCAATCTAGTCCAAGTTTTTTCAAGGAAATATAACCAAACACCAAGATTATCGACGCTAAATAAGCACATGGTTTCATAGTTAACTGTATGTATACTAAATAGGTCATCCAATCATGTTAACAATGTTTAAAGTATTTTCTGAAGTGCGTATGAGACAAATGGCGTGTAAAGCAAAATGTGTTAAGATTGTGTATATTCTTAATTGGATCCGAGGTGTGAGTAAAAATTTCATTCACTATTTATCGCCTCTAATCGGTGAATTTTTGGAGACAACATACTATTTTTATGTGTGATATGAGTCACAGAATGCATGAAATGAAGATAAATAAACAAAATAAAAACAAATGAACGAATGTTTGTGTTATTTTGCTGTTCCAGTTAGTTGTTCATCATATATTCAGATAAACCGACTGATTAGAACAATTGGGTGCAACTGTTATTGTCCAGAAAACAAATGGTAGATTAAATTGGAATAGAGTTCAAGTTCACTTATTAATTGTACGTCGCCATAGAACAGCTAATTGCATTCCAGCTTTCTATTAATATTATTTGAATTTGCCTATATGTGTACGACTTCGGCTGTTAACTTTGCATTGTAAGAACTAAAACCTTTAAGTAGGATTCTTTTGCCATTGAAATCAATTGTATGACTTGACTGTATTGAATGTAATGCTATCGATGATTTGTTTTTGAGCTTTTTCAAATCATTCGAGGATTTAGAAATATGCTTTAAGCAAAGTTTGTGTCGCTTTACCACAATAACTGAATGTTTTTACATCAACAGAACGCCCAAATACTATGAAACTTTTCGTTTAAATCCACAAGAAAGTTCTTATATACATCATATTTTGATCACATATATTGTCATAAAGTGAATGAGATAAAATACTTTCATAGTAGAAATACTAAAATGTCTAGCGAGACATATTAGCAGGCAACTTTTAAACATCCATTAGATTCCTTGCTTGACTCACAAACAATTATTAATGATTTGTGGGAGAATTATAGTAAAAATTGAAGACTTTGTACATCAGAATTTATAAAACAATATTTTGTTTTCAATCACGGAAATATAAAAAAATCACTATTAAAATCCGTAGCATATGCTTTGAATTGTGCTTACTGACAAGATTTCCATTATAATCCTCACAACATGCATACCACAACTAATTACTGTTACCTTTTATATCAGTAATAAAAAAGTATTCTGTGAACATTCATTGTTGATTGAAAGTTCACATCCCAACATTTTATTACTGGCTATAGATGTTTCTTTTAAGCATTTAATAAAGTTTGTATTAATTATTAAAAATACTGAACTATGAAACTACATAGTGCTTAAAAAAAATAAGCCCTTCAGACCATACCTGAAGCGCTGACACCATGAACAACATTTGACTACCTGATATCTATATTTTAACTTCAATCTACAAAATATTCCTTCATTCAAAGTGTCTCACATGATAAAAAGCGAAATCAATTTTTAATCATCTAAATTATTGATCAACTCACCTAAAGAGGTAACGAAATGTGAATGGGCATTTAATGTTTTGTGACATCGCCTATTTTTCAAATCCCAAACTCGAATTGTCTTGTCGTCAGAGGCAGACAATAAAAGTCTACCGTGAGGGTGAAATACAAGTTGTCTAACCCAATTATCATGACCGATCTAAGAAAAAATATAAATGTATATGGAATCATAAATTGCATTATAACAAAAAAGCTCAAGTTGTCGTAAAATAAAATTACACTATCAGGAAGTATAGCTGATTAACAATGATGATATTGAAAAAAAGATTATCAAGTCATGTTAATTTTCAACCATCAACACTTGTATAATTTTTAAAACATGTCGCATTAGAAGTTATAAAAAAGTAGCGTAAACAGAGGAAACATTGGATTGAATCAACCATTTACACATAACAAGTCAACCAAGATGTCAAAAATTTTCATCACATCAAAGTAGGTCTGTTATGAACTCGACTACTATTATTACTTGGCATTCTTTAGACAATACTTCACTCGAAAAGTTCCTAAATCAAAACACGGCTGAACAGGAACTTAATTATATTCCAAATAAACAGGTTAAGTGAAGGTAGAAGCCGCAATACAAAACACAGAATATTTATTATTTAAACATAGGAAGATCCCAAAGTCTTCACTAAATATCCGCTAGCAACGATTGGCTAAAAAACGGTCAGTATAATTACATACCTACGCCTGTTACCCCTTGTAGAGTAGCACATGCCACCCACCAGCATTCTCCATCCAACTTCGTCCAGTGTAACCCTTTCCAGTTGCTACTCATTCTTATTTCAACACACAAAAATTGGTAAAAGATAACAAATACATATGCGCCACATAAATCATTCTATATGTGTGAGAGCTGGAATACTACCCCGGATGCTCAAACCGAAGCAAGTGGTTTTCTTAAGGGGCTACACCCCGAGCCTTTCACCTAAAGGTCTAATCCACAAGGCAGTGGAGCAGCGTAAGGAGATGCAGTCCCATGGTAGTCGGTGACCAACAATAGGTTGATACGCCTTTTGTCCCCTTTGGATCCTGGAGCCTATGTGCATCATTGGTTTGGAATAAGGATTTTCCAACTCCCCTGAGTGGGTCGTCTATATTCACCAACACGGTAAAAGCGTCGGACATTCACTTTGCGTTCTCTCAATTTCGTAAACAACACTTTTGCAAGAAGGCAGTGAGAAGTACTTCCCTGGCAGTGGTTGTATGCACGTGGCCATGTGAGGAAATTACAAGAGGGAGAGCTGACACTCCCCAAACACAACCGTACCATGGCACTCAGTGGTCATTTTTTTCATGTCTGCTTCCAATTCCCGATGCAGTGAGTTCTTTGGCCTTCCTCTTTTCCATTCCCCTTCAGGATTCTAAGTAAGCGCTTGCCTCGTGTTACAGTTTGGTGATTTCCGTAATGTATGTCTTATCCACTTCCAACGTCGTTCGCTAATTTCCTCCACAGTTGGAAGCTGGTTTGTTCTCTCCATCAGTAAGCTGTTGTTGGTGTTATCCGGCCAAAGGACATTCAGTATCTCGAGTAGCCAATTGTTTAGAAATACTTGTACATTTTTGATGATGGTTGTAGAAGTTCTCCAAGTTTTAGCTCCGTACAGTAGAACTGTCTCGACGTTCATATTGAAGATTCTGACATTGATATTGATGGACAGCTGTTTTGAGTTTCATATATCCTTTAACTGTAGGAATGCTGCTCTTCTTCTGCCAATTCTTTCCTTTACGTCTGCATCAGACACTCCTTCTTCATTAATGATGCTGACCAGGTATGTGAAAATATCCACCTCTTCCAGAGACTCTCCATCAAGTGTGATTGGATTAGTGTTCTCCACGTTGTATTCAAGGATGTTGCTTTTTGCCTTGCGTATGTTGAGGCCTACTAATGCGGAGGCTCCTGCTACAGTACATGTCTTGACCTGCATTTGTTCGTGTGTATCGGATAGAATAGCTAGGTCAACTGCGAAGTCCAAATCGTCTAGTTGCCCAATTGCCCCCAAATGCCCTGGTACGGCCGAGAGTCACCTCTCCATCTCGAAATGCTCTCATATGGCCAGCGAATATATAGCCTCTGCCAGGGAAGTCCTACTCACTGACTTCTCGTGGCGGGGGTGTTGTTTACGAAAGTGAGAGGACGAAAAGCGAATGTCTGGAGCTTTAACCGGGTTGGTGGACATGGAAAGTTCACCTAGAAAACCCCCTAAGAAAACCACGTTTCAGTCTGGGCACCTGGGCAGTATCACAGCCCTCACACAAATCGAATGAGATTTGTGAGGCGCATATTTATCTGGTGCTTCCTTGTACCAATATTTATGTGTTTAATTAAATAAATAAAATAAGTTGCATACAACTTGTCCTGTGTATTCCGTGCTTCTCCTCAGATGTCGAGGTCCAGTCAATCACCAGAAGAAAGAGAAAAGATGATAGTAAGAAGCTTTGTTTGACACCGGTTCTCACTTGGAATGCGTCTGTCAGCTGTCCTCCATGCATGACTTGGCAATGAAGTACATCGTATGAATTCCGGATGATGTCGACGATTTTCTCAGGTACACTATAGTATCCGAAATAGTTCCATAAGGTTTTTCTATACATGCTGTCAAACACCTTCTCATAGTTAAGGATCTTGATGTGTAGTGACGAGTCCCATTCAACTGATTGTTCAACGATGATCCGTAGTGTCGCGATTCGGTCTATGCATGACCGGTCCTTACAGAATCCAGCCTGTTGATCTCGAAGGTGGGTGTCTACTGACTCTTTCATTCGGTTTAGCAGCACTTTGTGGAAAACGCTTTCTGGCACCGATAGTAGTGTGATACCTCTATAGTTGAGTTCCCAAATTCACTCAGAACTCCTTTCTTTGGTATCTTGATGAGGTGCCCTTCTTTCCAGTCTAAATGGCCAGCGTACGCTAACGCAATTGCACAGAGAACATACTTTAATCCAATTCATATCCCGCTAACAACGAAAGTTAACCAAATGTCATACTACTTGAATTTAACAACCATACGTCAGTAAGTGTATCGAACCACATCTATTGGTCAAACAAATATTAACTTTATGTAGGCTAAAAGCAAAATAAATTTGTGACACTACGTTGTATATTATGGCATACATTGCAGTGGAAATTTAGTATGATAATAACAGGATTTATCTAGGTTTAATGATGTAATATACCATTGGGTTATGGGATTGAACTCACTGAGCTCAGTAACTGAGCCAAAAAGTAAAATTCCATGCATAAGAGATGTAAGATACGATTCAAGATATGATTTTAATTTTCTTTAGCAGAATGAGTTCATTATCATTCTTAAAAAATGCTGGTGTAAGTTGTTTTTTACAACAATCCATATTGATGGTACTAGTGGTGACTTTCAGATTGTTGAAGTTTAATAACATCAAAATCGTAAAAAGCGCTCTAAATCCTGTAAATCAAAATGTAAAGATCACTAAGACTATTTCGGAGAACGCAAAAACAAATATGTGAGCAAATAAACTTGTGTCACTATAAAAAGTGCCTAAATAGAGCGTGATAACGATTTTAATCCCCACATACAATGCTGTATTGAATTCTTACAAGTTAATCACTACATAATAATGATAAAAACCAATCCCGATAATCTGGTAAAGTCAATCTATAATCTAGCTACTACTCACAAAAATTTATCAAAAGAAAATCACACTATAGTTTGGTTACAGTGGTTAGAATACTCAGGTGTTTAAGATCAATGAACTTTACATCGTTTTCAAGGAAACATCGAATTGGAAATTCTACGCAACAACTGGTACATTTTCTTCAAAAATGGTTAAGAATGGAAAGTCACATAGTTATAAATAACAGAAATAAAACAAGTTTGGTAAATCCCAGTGAGTGGTGATGAGTTGGTTACAATCAGTGAATCACCAGTTAAGAGACAGTATGTGATAAGGAGGTCGTGTTTCCCTCTTTCATAGTATAATTATACTTAAAAGAACTTGAAAAAAAAGTATCAGAAAACAGTATAAAAACTACTTACGAGAACAAACAAGCAAATACCAATATTTACATCCCAAAAACGAATAGTCCTATCGCGTGAACCCGATACAAGTAACAAAGATGAATTCATACTCGAAGGTAAAGAATTTAAGTCTGTAGAAATTCCATTTGTTGTGGCATTGACAAATCCATCATTAGTAAAATTAGTAGAATCGCCACCATCAGAACTATTTATTGCTAATATACTTTGTGGATGAGAAGCCCAAGCAATACATTCAACTACGTGTTCATGACCACGTAGTACAACTTGACATTCGCGCGATTCTACAGACCAGATCCGAATAGTATGATCATTGGAACAGCTGGCCAAAAGATTCCCCTCTGGACTTGGGCGAACTGATCGGATCCACTCAGTATGACCGATGAAAGTCTTCGTACAATATCTACAGATTGAAGAAAAGGTAGTTGTTTTGCAAAGCCACAAATGTAAATAAGGCGAAAAAAGATCGATAAGTATCTACTGAGAAAATCTATGACAAGAATGCCTTACAAAATGTTGAAGATTCCTTCAACGGTTAATAAGGCAGAAGAGCTAGACTGATTAATTGTAAGTTGTTTTTGGCATTGCATGTGTGGTGACTTTTAGCTCGGATAACTATGGTGCGACTTATTTGCCAATCGGAATACGACTTATGTAATCTTACCACTGTGCCAAAACAATGACGTTCGACCGGTATGACCAGCCTAGCGTATTTATTGGTCCTTTTTCCTCCTAGCCCTGCCAGTTGAATCAAGAACACCAATACCAGCTTCCACCATACGAATCATTTATTTCAAACATACCTGGTTTATATACCAGACAAACAGACCACATCACACCATAAAATAAAAGATAACATTTATACAAGATCAAGCCAAAAGGTGTCTGTGAACATGGGCGACGGTAATTAATAAACCAAGCATAACTCAAGAACGGTAAATCGTATAATAATACTCCATGTGTGAAAATAAAGCTTATAATAAGAGGAATACAAATATATATAATCTAGTTACTCAACAGTTATACAATAAGAATGTAAATGTAATATTAGTCCATTAATAGTTCACAGAAGTTACCAGTAATTTAATTTTCACTAGGACATAACGATATGGATAAGTGGGTTTAAACACTATAGGATCTAACAGTCCATAAATTCAAAGGCACTTCCGTCGACATTTGTAGCTGTTAACCTCCACTCTCAAATGAACGTTAGTTACTCATACGATTTAGATAAAGAATTGGTGAATTCATAGATTAGTGATATGCGTTAATGACTGTTCTGAAGCATCTATCTAGTAATTCATCTAATATCAGACATTGAAGTAGATCGAAGTTTGAATTGTGTACTGCTGACTTAACAAAAGTAAATTAACTTATAAGCGTAGATAGCAAAGCATGACATATTCTTCGAAAAGATCATCTTTATTATAACTTAGTAATTCCTGCAGCTACTTCTGGCTAATCATTTTTAAACTAAATGTTTATGACGAGAAAATCTATTTCAAAAAATGTTAAGCGTAGTTCGCATTACTAGCTTTTTTCATGAAAAATAGAAATGTCTATACAAATACAATAGACACCATATATACAGGCTGTGTTGGTTATAGTAAGCGAAAGATAAGCAGATACGTTTGGGAATATGCACTGTTGAATGAATACAATATGATAAAATGTGGAAGTTTAAAAAATAACAATTGTTAATCGGTATTGAGCAGCATCAGATTAACAAATAGTATTAAGATGGTGGAGATAATCTGTAGCTCAGATTGATGATTTAAGTGGAGCTTTTTGCTACGAGTTGGATGGTTTGGTCGTGGAGCTTTCATCGTTCATCTGAACATCATCAGAACAAACTTCATATAGGAGCGAAGTGTTCGAATTTCTCCACATATGACTAAAGGCTTGTTCTGTTATCCCCGATCTTGAATGAATCTCCCTTTGATTTGATTACAGGTTCTATGTTTGTCCATGATTTCTCTGATTGATTGATAGGTTGAATCGACATCGATAAGTTTGTTGATTACTGATTGACCTGAGTGACAAGCTTCTTAAAATTCCCTAGTGTTTTTAATATTCCCTCTATCCAAGATTTAAACATTTTTCTAATCGAATATCTGTTCGCAGTTGTCTACGCGCGTTGATATATGTGAAGATATGTCACAGCCTTTAACCGCGTCTACTTTGTTCAGTATACGGTCCCTTCATCTTCACCTGTATGAACACCAATCAGCGGAAAAATGCCGACATGTATACGCTTATACCAATGCATTTGGACAACTGTGAACACACATACGACTAGAAAAATGTTTAAACCTTGGATAGAGGGGATTTACTTATTTAAACACAAAAATTGGTAAAAGATAACAAATACATATGCGCCACATAAATCATTCTATATGTGTGAGAGCTGGAATACTACCCCGGATGCTCAAACCGAAGCAAGTGGTTTTCTTAAGGGGCTACACCCCGAGCCTTTCACCTAAAGGTCTAATCCACAAGGCAGTGGAGCAGCGTAAGGAGATGCAGTCCCATGGTAGTCGGTGACCAACAATAGGTTGATACGCCTTTTGTCCCCTTTGGATCCTGGAGCCTATGTGCATCATTGGTTTGGAATAAGGATTTTCCAACTCCCCTGAGTGGGTCGTCTATATTCACCAACACGGTAAAAGCGTCGGACATTCACTTTGCGTTCTCTCAATTTCGTAAACAACACTTTTGCAAGAAGGCAGTGAGAAGTACTTCCCTGGCAGTGGTTGTATGCACGTGGCCATGTGAGGAAATTACAAGAGGGAGAGCTGACACTCCCCACCCTCAGCTGTACTGGGGGCATTTGTGGGCAATACTAAAAGTTTTAGAGAAGTTTTAGAAGCTTGTCACTCAGATCAATCAGTGATCAACAAACGCATCGAAATTGATTCAATCTATCAACCAATCATTAGTATTAGTAGTAGTAATGATGATATAGTTTTATTTTTATATGTTGTGCGAACTTGAACCGAAGAACACGTGTGCTAGCTTTTGCTGTTTATGATTGACTGGCTGACGACTTTCGAGTGAAGCTTTCTAGTCTTGCATATGCGGTTAAAATATATTCATTGACTTGAAGAGAAATTATTCTTAAACTTAACCAACTGCCCGATCGAGAAAATTTCAAGACTGAACAATAACCTACATTTATGCAAAGAAACGCTAAATTTTGAATTTAGGCTGCAAAGATAATAAGAATTTGGTTGATACAGCTATTTCAAGAAATTATTTCTTGAATTAAAATCAAGAAATAATAATGTCTTTTAAATATTAAACTAGAATGATATGGTTTTCAAAATATGTATAGATTAACGTTGGTGATCTTATTTAGATCTTGTGATCTAAGGGAAATCTAGTGATCATACGCATTCGTTGATGCAGGCCGAAAATCGATCGAATAAATAACATTCAATAATTGTATGGATTCGGAATATATGACCTTCATATTCTGATTAGTGTATATGTACTTTCAATGATAATATACTGCGACAACTTAAAGAATCAAATAATCGATTAAAAGATCGAGTGCTTCAATTTCTGCAGCACAATTAATCACGTGACAAATAAAATACTTAAGGTGTTTTAGATCAACACAAAATGTTTGAGTCAATCCAGATTTCTAGGAAGACAGCAAATCCTTCCTTACCAAAGTAAAAAGCATTTTTTTTAATAACATAATACAAAATAAACTACACGGAGACACTAAGAAAATCGGTCATCATACCCTGTAGATACTTCCCACATTTTAATCGTTTTATCTCTACTTGCACTGACTAAGAAGTCACCAGAAGGTAGAAACGCTACACTGGATACATTATGATCATGACCAGTCAGAGTTTTGATGCACTGATAGATTGTAAAATCCCATAATTTAACTTGCATGTCGGCGGAGCATGAAGCCAAAAACTTTCCTGATGGATCAAAGGCTACGTCTTGCACGGAATCTGTATGGCCCTTTAAGGTATGCTCAAACTCTCCAGTTTCATAATCCCAAACCTAAAAAAGAATTCTATGTTTGGAAGTGAACCATTACAAATACTCCTGATCTATTTGAAAATGAATACAATAATAAATCTGGAAGATACCATCGTTTTCAAAAGCTATTCTAATTTGAAAGTACACACAGGGTCAAAATTCATATTGCCTAGTTCATCAAAATGCAGAACACAACATTGAAAATTTACGTGCGAAATTTCGGTGGTTACATTCGTCTAAACTTAAAATGAGAATCAAGCACTACTCATATAATTCTGATTTTAGTGCTCTCATCCGTCGAAACTTCATGGAAGCGAAATGTGTACGTGAAGGAAAATATTGACCTACATACACAATCAGCTTATGAAAATATGAGTAAATAGGCTGATAATAAAGTTTGTTTAGCATACATAGGAGAAAAAGTAGACAAGTTATTGTAAGTTGACTAGTTACAATAATCATATTTACATATAACACGTCCGTTGATGATCCCCTGCATTTAGAAGACAACATATTAAGTTTGCGCAGGAAATCATTAACACACAATAAATTTGAAAGAATGATTCTCACTTCAATGAGCTATGTGAAAGAGCAGAATATGACATGTTATAAGCTAACAGAATAGTGGAATGATTTGAGAAATATGCAAAAATGAATTGCTACTGTTGACAAAGTAGGGTCCTGACTATTCCATGCTAACCTTAGGCTAAAAAAGGAACACGTTGATTCGTTAGTTTTCCAACCAATCAAAGCCACTGAATGTATCGAGAAGATACCAGAATATTTTCATGTACATTCTATATAAATCCTAATACTTTCATTACTACCTTCGATGTTCTGGTTTATTTAAAGATTTATGTTGTTCCAACTCAATTCTGATTTGAAACGAGTCAAATGAACTAGGGTCTAGACATTACTGGACAGTAGAGAACATAATACACACTAATAATTTTAAAAAGTAGTTTGGATAAGATGAAAACCCTACAAAACCTGAGACGAATTTACATAAGAAAGTGAAATTTAAGGAAGAAATTGTCTTTGTAAATATCACAGTGACTGGAATTAAAATAAATCCAACGTTTTGCTCGATAGTCCGGTCCATGGTTTTTTAGGGGAAGTAATCAAATATCAATATGGTCGAATATAAACACATTCGCAGATCAAATGTATACTAAACAAACCGTCGAATCATATTAGATTATTTCCCTTCAAAAATCTTAACCATAATGCCAAGTGAAAATTCGGTCGCTGAGATTGATACCAATATAAATCTATCCTTAATAACTTACACGGCTCTTAACTACTGTCAAAACTATTCATTCAAATTTAGACTAAGTTTTTATAAGTAGTGGAATTCGATTGCTAAGAAGCTCAATATATTGGATAACTAATCCCTGAAGATTACTAAAATAAGAACTTTACCAATCCTGGAAAACTAGAAAGTTACGCTGAACAGAATCAACTAGTCTTCTAATCTGAGAAAAACTATCATTTTACGGCATACTTTAAACCAATTTCAATGAGAAAATATGTGCTACTCAACAAAAGAAAATTTAAAACAGAATGGACTAACTTTGATTGAGGCATCTTCACTTGCCGAAACAAAAACATTGTAGTGTGGATGAAAGAGTACACGAGTTATCGGAGAACGATGACCTGTAAGTGTAAACTTAGCTGGAGGTCTTGGAATAGCATCAACATCACGTCGATCACTCCTGTCTGAAAGACCACTTCCAGGTGCAGCACCTGCTACACCAAAACCAATAGCATTTTGCATAGACTGAAACTCCTTCTCAGCCTCGTTAAGCTTAGCTTCTAAATCCATGACCTAGAACAAAGTAAAAAGTTTAGCGAGACCATAAAACTAAAATCTAAAGGCTGATTTACCGCTTACTAATAGGACATACTATACACATTTTATAAATCAAACCTCCCTACCAAAGTTGTTCAACGACAACCAAAATGAATCATACGAGTGTTATTTCTTGAGATTTAAAATCAACCCGCGACGCTCGGAGAAATAGATGACTGGGACAAATTGGTACCCAGACACATAAACAGCAAACCAGAAAACGAAACTTCTTCTTGAGTATCAAGTGTAAATTTTTAATTTTGTATTAACTAGTACACTACACCATACCTTAATAGTCGAAGGCCGAGTGTTCGAACCAATATCCTATGCTCGATCGCATATTACTAACTGTAGAAACAATTAACGGCATAATTAGTGATAAATACCATACAAACTAATGACTTGTGTCTTTCGATGTCGCGACGTCCGGCTCCGCTTAGACTGACCTTTCGGTTCTTGGTGAATATATCAAGGTTCACGTCGAACAGATTCAAAGACTAAAAAAATGGAATACTACGGCTGATACATTGCCATTAGTTGCAAAATGATGTTAGGCTGAATTCTACTACTATTCGTAGGCAATAGTGCATAGGTCCTAATAGTTAGTTACTTAAATTTGGTGGCGAACAAGACATTGGATCCACCAAACACCTTACACTTGCTGCTTTAACAAAGGATTTCAAAGCGAGTCCCAAAGTTGTGACAACTGGTTCTGAGATTACGGTAAAACATCTGGCACGTTATATCTCATAGCCAGCGCTATAAAGTTTCAGGACTAAGATTAACTGTGCAACTATACATCTAAAAAGACACATTTTATATTCACTTTCATTGCTACTTAGTAACCCAACAACATTGTTTGGTTCCTGAATGTCCAGTTTTACCACGACTCTCTGGGGATTTATTCGCATGGGACAACCAAGACCTCACTTAATCACAAGTTAGAGCCTGGTACGCATTTACATCTGCCCAAGTTGCCACATTCTATGATCACAGAGATGGAATTCTCCGGCTAAATCTCTGATAGAAGTAGTAACAGTACCAATAGCAATGGAAAAAATTAGGTACAGGTGATAGGATTCAGTGGGAAAATTAAAATCGGTGAAATAACCGAGCTTTTAATCTCAGAATTTGTGGAAAGACAAAAAATGGATGCACCTACGCCAATACAAACGCTTTTGAGCCATGTCTTTTAAAGTCTCTAATCATTGGTTAGGATGATTATACGGGCCTCAACCAGGTGGTTTTTACTCACTAACATGGCTAAGTTTAAATGCCACTGACTTTATCAACTGATGCAACGTTTTCGTCTGGCTACCCTTAGCTTTCTTCCAGCCTACTCCTAAACCAGACAGCATTTCCCGTTAATGAGGCCATAAATGCTGCTTTCAGCCTTACCGTCTTTCAATCGACCTGTCTGGTACGATAGGACCTAAAAAGAACATGTGTTCCAGCCCAAATAGTTCGGTTGAGTCATCACGATAGGCATGTCCGACCACCACGTCAATAATGCACGAAGTATCTTTCAGATGAGAATAATTCAAAACATGAAGTTAAAGACAAACTTTCAGACAAAAAAATCATACACAGACGAAATCTAGCAAGAGGAAAGCTCAATGCATTTCAATCGAACCTTTTTCTGAAGCCTGATGACGGAAGTCCACTTTTTCTCTAGTAGGCCGTCATATTTTCGGTCATTTTCTCCTGCCTACAAATTAGTAAGCGTATATTGTTGGAATTACCAGTTGCGACTCTTCTCTGAAGGCATTCAGAGCTTTGACGTATCCATTAGCAAATAAATAATCGGCAATAGCTCTGTTGCTACATGCGTAGATGAGTTTTAAGGTAAACTTACAGCTCCTCTTTTTGACGCTGAGCTAAAACCATCAGAGAAGTTACTGGAAACAAAAGCAATTCCGAATATGCAGATTTTTGGGAAGAATGACTCCCTTCAATTATGAAGCCAATCCACAACTCCTATCGAGTTTATACCAGCCACCGTACGAAGACACCGAAATCAAGAACAATCAGCTCCTAAAGCCCGCTTGGTTTGTTTAAATACTTATGTTCAGTATTTCATTTCTTGAAATCGGAACGAATACTATGTACTATCATGTTTTCTTGTCTACTTTCAGTAGACTGTATTACGAAACAATCATATACAATTTCACCCTTCGTTGTACAACATACAGTCCGAAGTACTAATTGGTTACTTTTTTATTGTTGATGATAAATCTTCATATATATATTTAAATGTATACCAGTGAGTGCTGTTTTTTATTTTTTGTGACTTAGCGATACATTATATAATAACTTGTTAATTTTCACGAAATTAAAGATGTCACAAGTATTCGGAGTTTGACAACGCCTTCACCACTAACCCAAAATGCTTCCAAAAGCCCTGGTGCGGCCGAGCGTGGGGAAAGTCCGCTCTCCCTCTCGAAATCCTCTCACATGGCCACGCGAATATATAGCCTCTGCCAGAGAAGTCCTCATCACTGCCTTCTCGTGGCATTACTGTTGTTTACGAAAGTGAGGTCATCCCCTTAAACATCTTCTTAAGCTTAGTCATAACATTAACCTCAGAGGTAACATCCAGAAATTGGAGACCCTACATAGCAGAACAGACTGCAGACACAACTTCTACTCCGTCAGAGTTGTCAAGTGCTGGAATTCGCTGCCGACTGAGCTAGTCCAAGCGACCTTCCAGGAGTCCTTTAAGAGGAAACTTGACTTATTCTTAAGGACTAAGGATAACATATATTATGATTTACCAAATTCTTTTTTCCTCTATTATCGTTCATATACCTAGGTTTTTGCCTGGAGGTATTGGTGATCCACTGCTACTAGACACGGAAGCCCGATAAGCGAAAGCTTCTTCTATTCCGTCCTCAACCATTTGAAAAGCGAACGTCCGGCGCTTTAACCGGGTTGGTGGATACGGAATGTCCACCTGGGGGAGTTGGAAAACCCTGATTCCAAACCAATGGTACACATGGGCTTCAGTATCCTGAAGGAACAAATGGCGTATGAACCAATTGTTGGTCACTGGCTTTCATGGGACTGCATCTCCTCATGATGTTCCACTGCCTTGTGGATTAGACCTTTAGGTCAAAGGCTCCGAGGGTCACGACCACTAATAAAACCACCTGCTTCGTTCTGAGTACCCTAGCAGCATCACATACCTCACACAAATCAAATGAGATCTATGCAGCGCATATGTATCTGGTGCGTCCTTGTACCAATATTTATATGCTTAAATAAATAATCCCAAATGGTCCCATGAGGTCCTCCTATACACGCTGTCAAACACCTTCTCATAGTTAAGGAACTTGATGTATAGTGACGGGTCCCATTCAACTGACTGTTCAACGATGATCCGTAGTGTCGCAATTCGGTCTATGCACGACCGGTCCTTACAGAATCCAGCCTGCTGATCCCGAAGTCGGGCGTCTTTCATCAAGTTGAGCAGCACTTTGTGGAAAACGCTTTCTGGCACCGATAGTAGTGTGATGACGCTGTATACATGATGAGTCCGTATAACGTGAGATATATGTACATATATTGGTAGTGTTAACGATTGATCCATTATAAACCAATCACTTTATGTGTAATCTATTAACTATTCATTAAGTCACGAGTAGAAATTCAAATAACTTTTTTTTCAAAAATGTGAAAACTGATACGTTATCACACTATGTTCGATTCATATTGTTTTTCTTTTGACATGTAAAAAGACTTAGAAATTAACATGAAAATGTGGTAATTGTGAGTTATTAGTATTAGGTTAATAAATAGAAATCAATGGTTGAACTTTTGCACTGTTTGGTTATGGTATTTAAAAAATGAATATGAATATTAATCAAAAATGATGGAGACATATGTTACGTGTTCCTAATCACCGTCTATCTCGACTGAGATAGGAGCAGGTAAGAAGAAAAGTAGGTGCGACCAAATCGAAACGTGATATCAGTCCAAGAAATCATTGACTAATGATCTGAGAGAAGTAGGTGTATTCAGACTGATTGGTCAAGGTATGTATGATAACAGCGATCAGTCATGATAGACGTTGGGTATGATGGTTGGAAATCAGTTACAGCGGTAGAGATGCATTTGTTGTTTATCATCCTTCAGATTTTGAGTTCCAGCATTTCTTCATACTTTCTTTTTAATTCAGACTTTTAGCACCATATTTTTAAGGTTTAGTCCTCCTTATGATTATTGCTACTACGTTGATTCGGTCTCTTTCGCTACTCACCTCGCTATATTAATCAGGTGTGAGAACTTGGGTCAGTGCATATCTTTGTCAGTTTTTTGTGTGATGTAACTGCTATTGATTAGTTTACTTAGGAAATAAACTTCCGACGAACTGGAAACTAAACAACAAAAGCATTTAGCGGTTTGTTTGAAACAATGTACTTTTAAAACGCTGTGATGTGCTCTACTCTCCCTCCTGATTTATATAACCTCTTCCACGGATTTAAGACGATGGTGATTTAGAAAAACAACTCAAGTTTGAAAATGGTTCCAATTCAAATGACGACTAATAAAAAATTGTGGAGTTAGGAAACTAATTGATCGCTGAATGAATATATTCCCAGATATTACGCTTTCACAGTAAACATGTTTTTATTGGTTATTGTTTTTCAACTCCGGTTAATTTAGGACCAACGTCTAATAACTTTGAGTATTCATATTCGCTTTCGATTTTATCAACTCCATAATGGGATGACAGTTTAAAAATCGTTCTCATTATGACTGACAAATTCCAACTCTAGCTAATTGATATTACGGAGGAAATGAATGATTTTCCCTTTGTCATGAGATAATACAAGTAGTGGATAGTATGATAATTAACCAAACACTAGTTTGGGGAATTGATCGATATACTAGATAACTAGACCATTAGATTAGTTCAAACGATACACAATATCCAACCGAAAATACGTAAGTTACAGACCAGACAATGGTTTTATTAACTCAAATATAATCTGTCCAAAAACCATAAAATGCAGAGTAGAATATAGTGAAGTCAAAAATAATATAAAGATATTCATTTTTTAAAATCACTAGTTACTTTGTAAGCATATTTGTTTTCGATCGATCGTGGCTTATATTGCTAATTCTTAAATTATTCATAATGAACGTAACACAAAATAGTTTGGCATTGATGAATTTTCGTTTTTATTTTTATTGTTTCCTATTGACTTATTGCTTATTATTTATCATGCTCTTCACAACCATTCTTCAATATACAATATTCTACTGATAATTCATAATGGGTTTTGTTTGTCTATAACTCTTCCAGGTATTGCATAAAGTAACTTTAGCTGTTGCGGATTTAAATGAGAAATTATTTTTACCGAATGGATTACTTATGATTGATCCATCAGAACGTGGACTGAGGGTAGTATCCTTTTGATAAGTTTAATATCTTATATATTGCTATGCTTGAAACTCAATCGATTCCGCGGTAACGAACGAAAGCCAAAGACACAATGACACGATAAGCTATTCTAATCTGTTGTCCCAGGCCCCGCTAACTAGATGAAGAAGTCCAAGGCAAGTAGGGGAATATATATGTATTCTGTAAGCAGCCGAGTACAAGCAATCCAATAAGGGGAAAAGTCAAGCGCATTTATACAGTAACAAATTGTCCTTGAGCATCATTAGTAAATAGCACACATAAAGAAACAATGGACCAATAGCGTTTAAGATAGTTTACAAGTGGGAAATATGACGTGAAGGTAAAAGAGCGCTTTTGGCGCGAAAACAGCCAAATTCAAATTTTCAAAACAAAATTACAAAACTAAGCCATTTACCAAGTAAGTTCTGGGGATTTGACATCCCCAACATATATATATATATATTCCGGATGACGTCGACGTTTTCTCAGGTACACTATAGTATCCAAAATAGTTCCATGAGGTCCTCCTATACACGCTGTCAAACACCTTCTCATAGTTAAGGAACTTGATGTATAGTGACGGGTCCCATTCAACTGACTGTTCAACGATGATCCGTAGTGTCGCAATTCGGTCTATGCACGACCGGTCCTTACAGAATCCAGCCTGCTGATCCCGAAGTCGGGCGTCTTTCATCAAGTTGAGCAGCACTTTGTGGAAAACGCTTTCTGGCACCGATAGTAGTGTGATGACGCTGTATACATGATGAGTCCGTATAACGTGAGATATATGTACATATATTGGTAGTGTTAACGATTGATCCATTATAAACCAATCACTTTATGTGTAATCTATTAACTATTCATTAAGTCACGAGTAGAAATTCAAATAACTTTTTTTTCAAAAATGTGAAAACTGATACGTTATCACACTATGTTCGATTCATATTGTTTTTCTTTTGACATGTAAAAAGACTTAGAAATTAACATGAAAATGTGGTAATTGTGAGTTATTAGTATTAGGTTAATAAATAGAAATCAATGGTTGAACTTTTGCACTGTTTGGTTATGGTATTTAAAAAATGAATATGAATATTAATCAAAAATGATGGAGACATATGTTACGTGTTCCTAATCACCGTCTATCTCGACTGAGATAGGAGCAGGTAAGAAGAAAAGTAGGTGCGACCAAATCGAAACGTGATATCAGTCCAAGAAATCATTGACTAATGATCTGAGAGAAGTAGGTGTATTCAGACTGATTGGTCAAGGTATGTATGATAACAGCGATCAGTCATGATAGACGTTGGGTATGATGGTTGGAAATCAGTTACAGCGGTAGAGATGCATTTGTTGTTTATCATCCTTCAGATTTTGAGTTCCAGCATTTCTTCATACTTTCTTTTTAATTCAGACTTTTAGCACCATATTTTTAAGGTTTAGTCCTCCTTATGATTATTGCTACTACGTTGATTCGGTCTCT